ATCAATGTTAGCATGATAATAAAACTTCAAATTATGCTTGGATCAGATATACGGTGTGTCATTAAAATACTGGTGGTTTGGTAGGATGATAAAAAGTGTGATTGCTGCAGTTTTTCATAACGGTATGCTTTTAGTCTACCACATTAAATCTATATTTATTTGTGCTTACACATGAATTACATTTTAGTAGGATGAAAAATAAAATCAATTGGACTCAAAATATACTCAAACTATCTTTTATAAAAATAGCGTTAATTTTGGACTTAATTTCTGGAGGAATTTTTGTTGTTATTTTTTTAAACAGGGTCTCGCTGTATAGCCCTGCCTGGTCTGGAACTTGCAACGTAGACCAGGCTGGCCTCAAAACTCATGGATATCTGCCTACCTCTGTCTCTGCTTCCAAAATTCTGAAAACAAAGGCATGCACCACTATTCCCAGCTGAAGTTTAATATTTTAAACAATTCACAATCCATGGGAACATGGAGCCCATTAGAAAACATTGTCTAGTGCCACATGAACGTTTATGTCCTTGGTCAAGCCAAACTTCTCATGTTCCTCATCTTTTGTAGTGTTTTGTTTGTCTTGGGGTTTTTCTTAGCTAAGCCAGGAGGGTTTTTTGTTGCTGTTGTTGTTTTGTTTTTGTTTTTTTTAACTAGAGATTGAATTTAGGACTTTGCTAGACAAACACTGAGTTATATCCCCAAGTAGTGTTGCCCCCGCCTTCCCCTGCCCCGTGTGTGTATGTGTGTGTGTGTGTGTGTGTGTGTTGTTGTTGTTGTTGTTGTTGTTGTTGTTGTTGTTGTTGTAGTTGTTGTTCTATAGGAAGATCTCTCCATAGCCCAGGCTGGCTTGAAATTCACTATGAGCTGAACTGAAGCTTGTGCTTCCCTTTCCTCAGCCTCTCAAGTGCTGGGATTACAGGCATGAGCCACCATGCCTGTCAAGAAAAGGTTCAGCAGAGATGAAAAAGGAAGGAGGGACCGATAGGGGGATGGTTTTGAGTACTTTGTCCAATAGGTTCTGCCCTTCTGAGTGTGTGCTATGTAAGCCTAGTACACTTTGCTCTCATCCTGAGGGCAGCACATGAATTTCCCTGTGTTATGAGATAGACAGTTGGCAGAACTGCTGTCGTGTGCCAGGTACCGCTCCCTGGAAGCTCAGGGGGCCTCCATTGGAGACGTGAGAATATTTCTCCAGTGCACAAGTGCTCAGAGACCCATTTGCTGTTCTTCACAGTAGAGTAATCTTGGGAGCAAGCTCCTAAGGCTGTGGAATCCAGGGCACATGGTCAAATCTGTTTCAGGAGATGTGAGTGAAGTAAAGGCTTGTGCGATGGATCTGTAGCCTGGGGAATTTCACTGTGAGTGCAGTGTGGGTGTTTGTGGGCACATTTCCTGTCACCATCTCTCCTTTTCCCTCTCACTGCTCTTCAGAGTCCCTCTTGGCCACAAAACTAAGGACGGAAAAATCTTAAGGCAGTCACACCAATTCTTTAAAGTCAGGGTCAATCCTTGACAAGTGCCGGCTTTCTGAGTTTGTGACATGGGAGATTACAAAGGGTCTCTAGCTTGTAAGCTTCTGAACTTGTTTAATGCTCTGTTGATTCGAAATTCGTATTGCTTTCTGAAGAAGGGCTCCACTTATCTGTGAATAAGCAGTCTTCTGTTCAGAACTGCAAAGCGTTTCTAGCACAGGTGCGTACCCCGGGCCTCTCACCCTGCCGCATGCACAGCAGTGAGAGACTGGGGACGATTAGGCCGAGGTGAACATCAACACAGTTTTAATAGAAATGAAATTCTCTGTGCACCACGGGATGGCAGTTCAGGGGTATTCTCTAGTTTCAGGGGTAGCCATTTCTGCTTTCCATCTGGGCTGATCAGAATATTGTGAGATAGTAAAATAGAGTTTTCTAGACATTTCCCGTTAGACACATAGTGTCTACAAGGGGCTCACCATAGGGTCTTTTTTGTTTTTGCTTTTTGTCAGGTTAGACGACCTGTAAATGAGAGAACGTGCTAGATCACAGCACCCATGTTGTACAGTACCAACCTCTGTGACAGTGGAGACGGTGAGGGTCCCCGCATTGTCCCTCTCTCCCTCTAACCGCCCTTTTGTGTCCTATCCTAAAATTGTTTTTCTGAAAGCTCACCTATAAGTTGGCACTCTTCCTGCTGTGTGATCTGCTCCCCTCACATAGTGACTTTGTTCTTGGTGACTTTCCTAGTTATTAAGCTAGCTGATAATTAATTCCTGCTAAATTATCACTTGGTGTGACCTAAGGTATTACATTATCACCTGGGAGTAATGTAAGGTAGGAATTTGTTGCTTAACTGCAACCAAGTCTTAAAGACACACACAGAGACCGGAATTTCTCCCAGAGCCACGGTGAAGGTGTGACCACCTCAGAAGGCGGCTGCCACGGTGTCTGATGGTGTCTCTTTGCTTAAGAACTGCTGTGGCCACGTGTGGTCAGAGGGGACAGTGTCCCATGCTGTTCCTAGTTCACGCTGGACTTGCCTTATTCAATAGCTCACTCACACCGGAGACGCAGACCTTGCCGTGCTGTCCCATCAACAGTAGATGCACTGTGCGCACTTCTCCTCAGCCCCTTCCGGGCTGTACTGTGGAGGTGTCTGAGAAAGCGCCATGTCAGGCTTATACCATCTACCCCTCTTACCCACAGCTGTGCTCCGTCAGCTCTGCCTCGGGTCTGTGTGATGGCTGTGGGGCTGTTTAAGGTCTCTGAACCCCATCTTCTCTCACCCGCTCAAGGGCAGCTCTCAGGTTGTGCACCCCTACTTGGAGATCATGCCATTTGCATATGTGGGTGCCTTTTTCATATCTTTACCAGCTCTAGCCATTTCCTTTTCAATCCCACCACTCATTCAGGGGACTGAGCATTTCTTTCAATTGCTCTTCAAATCAGAAGGGCTCAGAAAGCAAACTTGGCTCTGCTCTTGCATGCCTTGCCCCCATTCCTCTTTGGTCTGTTTTCACCCAGCTCTTCTCTGTTTTCACTCTACCAAAAGGTTCCTGGTGAAGCTCACCAGTGTACTTCCTCCCGGCTCAGTTCCGTGCTTTATTCCAGACCTCTTAAGATTCAGCCTCTCAGCCACATGAATGACACTTCATTGTTCTTTCCTCACAGTTGCTTTGAGGGAGATTCGGGTCTTTGTGTCTTTCAGATGTTAATACGGACTGATAATTTTAACACCAGGTGAGAGGCGTGCAGGGATGTGATTTTGCTTTCTGGGAGTCGCCTCTTGTAATGGTCATTTCAAAGCAGAAGCTCAGGATTTGTTTGTAGCGAGACACTAGTCTTCAAATGGACATGTTATTTCTTCCACTTACGCTACTTTTTAGTCACGTCCGAGAACGTCACATGTAAAAAGAAGCAACTGCTGCTTCCCGTACCAACAGTGGGACTTGCGTTTGTCAGCGATTGTCACAAAAAAAAATCAGATTCTAGAAATGGGTCTGTGAACAGTGTCTTCATGCAGCTTCTGGAACTTCAGACTCCCTTGTGTCCTTGCTGCCTCACTGGCTGCTCCTTCATGCCCTGTGCTGACCCCTCCCTACCCCTGATCATTAAGGAAATCCTCACTGGTAAGGTCCTGGGGCCACTTTTGTCCTGATCCATTCTCACTTGGCATCTCCTCATGAGTTCAGAGACCATCGACTGTTAAATATATCAGAGCTGTATCTCTAAGCCAGACCGTTGAGTTCTGACTCACGTTCAGGGTTCAGGGGCATCTGACTCCCAATCTTCCCCTCCACTACAATACCCTCCTCCCCTCCCTACCCCTGTCCTCAGCAGGCCAAGTGATCACAGGGAAAACACATCACTATTCTATTTCAAATCCCACAGTGGCTGCTGAATACAAGTCCAAGTCCTATGACTGGCCCCACCCAACCTTCCAACCTTAGTTACCTTTCTCTTTGTGCCCACTCTGCTCCAGACATGCTGGCTTTCCCACTGGCGCTGAGCTGGCCTGCTGTGCTCTGCCCAGGACCCTGCATGTGCTCCCCCTCTCCTGCCCAGAAGGCCCTTCCCCAGCATCTGCACAGAAGATTCTCTCCTCCAGGTCTTTGGGAAGCATGGCCTCTTGCGGAGGAGACCTTCCCCCATCACCCCAATCCCACTGCCACCCTCCCCCATCTGCCTGCTTGGCTTTCTCTTTCCCCGTGGCCCCATCACTCTGTATTCAGAAGCGTTTCTGCTTTATCTTCTCTCCTGCCCCCAGGATGGAAGCTCTGCGAGGGATGAATCTCCGCTATCACTAGATAAAGCTATCATCAGGGCCCAGCTTATAACCCAGAGCCACAAACAAGGCATAAGGTCCATTTGTCAGATCTGTAAGGGCTCTTTCTATGGAGGGCCACTGCATACGAGCTTTAGACAGGCAGCTTTCTAAAGACAAGGATCAGGGCTGCACCTAAGGATCTCTTCTTCCGAGGCTGGGAATTCACTGTGGAAATCCCTCCCCACCCAGGTCTAACAGCTGCCCCTGCAGCTGAGCGCAGGGACCTCAAAAAATGTGCATTCTTACTGTTTATGGCTATCATGCAGTTTTGCTTTCTGTGAGTCGTCTCCTGTAATGGTCACTGTAAGGCATAAGCTCAGGACTTGTTCGGAGCAAGAAAGCAGTCTTCACATCGGCGCGTTGTCATTTCTTACATTTATTCTGCTGTTTAGTCACCTCAAAGAACTTCACATGGAAAAGAAGTAACTGCTTCCCACACCATCAGTGGAACTTCAGAGATTGTTGCAAAAAAAAAAAAAAAAAAGCAGATTCTCGAAGTGTGTCTGTGGACAGTGGCAACCTGTTCTCATGCTGAGAACATTTGCTAAGCGCCTCTCCTGGGCCAACAGTACAAAACGGCATGTTTGAGAAAATGTTGGAGAATGTGAAATTGCATTCTCCCAGTTCTGATGCGGAAAAAAGGGGCAAACTGCCTGTCATTATTCATCTTCCTATCTCATCATAACAACAAAGAATACAAGAAAATTTGTAAATTTTATTTGCAGTGCAGAAGTGACATTGAACCAAACAGCTGTCAATGACATCTAGACTCTGAATTTAAGTTATAAAAATATCAGTGTGCTAACTGGGCTGGGGAATGACGAAGTCTTTTTCATAGTAATCACACAGCTTCCGGTTTTGATGTCATTTGTTACAGTGTTGTCTGGAATTGCGAAACTGTTCCGTTAGGGGTGATCTGGACAAGTCTGGACTTGACATTTGATAGTAGTTGGGTAACCGAATATCATAGTGATGTTTCTTCCCAGTGTACACCCTGTCGTTCAAGGCATAGAGTTTATCTGCAATGTCGCTGCCAATCAACACGGAAAACAGGCGGGAGATGTAGCGGTGCTGAGCAAAGAGCAGGTATAATTTTTTTCTCCTCCAAGACACATACCGACAATCAGTGTCTGCTGTGAGGGTTACCTAAAACCATGAAGACACAGAAACCAGACAGTGAGAGATTCAAGCACCGTTATTAAAGCTTTATTTTTATGTGTATGAGTGTTGGACCTCCATGTATGTATGCATGCCACATGTGTACAGTGCCCAAAGAGGCCAGTGCAGGGCGTCAGATCCCCAGGAACTGGAGTTACAGATGGTATGAGCTGCTATGTGAGTGCTGGGAACTGAACCCATGTCTCTGCAAAATCAGCCAGTGCGTTAATCTTAGCCACTGAGCCGTCTCTCTAGCGCCTTCAACCAAGTTCTTCTGCCCCAAATTTTAATTGAATTTCTTACTATCCTCTTAGGTTAAAAAATATTATGAAAACTTAAGATATTAAATATTAAAATAAATTAAACTACATGATTTACTTCTTATCCTATCACAATGCTTGCACAGTGCTCCTCTTGATTATGTCTTGCATTTTGCAGAGCTATTTGGTATGAAAATGAAAGCATAGAGCTGGCTAATATCAGAGAAAGACAACTAAATATGAAGATTGTGGACTTTTAACACTAACACCCTTTCTCTGGTACAATATGGAATATTAATACCACTTTTGCATATTTACATGAATTTGAATTTGCATGTTTATAGGAAACTGTATAGCATCATAAATGGAACCAACTGAAATGATTGTCTAAGCCTACCAATACGTGGCAGCTGGAAGTGCCAGCAAGTTTAGAAATAACTGAAGCCCATCAGCATTTTTTAAATTTTCAAAAGCCACTTATTTTGTAGTAAGTGCAATTTCTTCTCTTGGCATATTCTAAACTATCACACCCACCAACAGTGTTGAAAGTCAGATCTCAGTTATCACATGTTAATCCCCAGATATGAGGTTCAACACAGGACATCTAGACAGTAGCCATCAGACTCCTTCCTGCCACAGCTCCCCCATTCTCTTTGTGACTGCGACATCAGCGAGCAGGACTCAGAACTGGGAAGGCTGCATGAGGCAAACTGTATCCCAAAGGTCAATATAAATTAAGGCTGTGTTAAATGTTATTCTACCTGTATGCATGCTTGCTTTAAAACTAAGATTCTTCTGTTCAGAAGACTGGGGTGTTAACCATGGAGCCTCTTCAGCCCTCACCTGAAAAGTTCCTTCCTCTGTGGGTCTCAGAGAATCCCACTCCGGAGAATCCAGGAACTGAAAGGGGAAGATGTGGTGCAGAAATTCGCCATCAACTGTCACTCTGATCCTAGCAAGACACAAGAACATCTCTTGTGAGGGGAGAAGAAAGTGTGTACGCACTTGGCCGTGTAGTGTGGGGGGAATGTCCTTCCAGTCTCTGGTGACTTCTTCCCTGGTGAATTTGGAAGAACCAAACATTGAATGCAGATACTACCTGGGTACCCTAGAAGATCTGGGCACTGATGCTCCTCGCTTAGCATCTGGAATAGTCGTAGGGGAAATTCACCAAAAAATGATCAGGGCGCACACGGATGAGTTCCATCCATCTGAATATTGTGCTTTGGCACAAGACTTGCGTGTACTCAGTCAGATTTTCTGATTACTTGGAAGTGGGTTTAAGAGCATAGTGGAGATCTGCTACAAGCACCTCTGTGAGTCAAAGGTTTAATCTTTTCGTTTATATGAAAAACATATTATTGTTTGCTCCCTCAGACTTTTCCAAGGTTAGTGTTTATACATTCATACTCTTGAAGTCATGGCTCCCACTTCACAAAAGGGGGTGGATGTTAGAAATTACTAAATAAATTTGATAATATAAAATCAAGAGTTTCCAGTTATGCAGAAGAATGCCAGAAGAGTCTACACAAAATGCTTGTGTCCCAGTGAAGGGTCTATCCGTTCAAGCTGCTTTGTCCGTCTTGACATTCAGGGACTAGCTACAATGCAGCTCCTGTATCCACAGAGCTAAACTCATGCATCGGTTTCATGGCTTGTGAGCTTTATTTCTAAGATGAATGGCTAGATTATCCCCTGATCCAAGTAAGCAATACCATGTGCTCTAAATACCCGCGCCTATGATTCATGTCTCAAAGATTTCTCCAAATCTCAGCGTGCTGAATGCCACCCAGGACCATCCTGCCCCAAGATGGAAAAATACAGAGCAAAGAAACACAGACAACTGCTATAGGGAAGGACGGAGCACGGAGGGTACAAACCTTCCGGAGACAAGCATGGAGAGTCTATCAATGGACGTCTTCCCTTGCATGGCGTAACAGTGCTCCTTTTCCAGAGAAACCACTTCAGAGCTGAGAGCGATCGTTCTGAAGACCGGCAAAGGGATCCCGAGGGGCTTGAAAAGCGAGCTGTACAGCACCTGGAATTCTCGGGCAAACGTTATGCTGTGAACTTGATACGCAATGTGAACAAACTGCATGAAGCAGATCACAAACAGCACAAAATTCCAGGAAAATATGTCAGCAGCACAGACGTCTACCCACGCCCAGACTGCGGAACACAGGAAACCCAGCCCCAGCAGACTGAAGACGTAAAGGAGCCCGAAGAACCCACTGCCGCCCATAAAACCTACTACAAACAAGATACTGGCGAGGTGATAAATGGCGCCTTCGGCCTCTTGCTTCCAGGCCGTGCAGACTGGGTGCTCAACCACCAGGCTCTTCCACAAACTTGAATTCTTTTCCATGGCTGTACTCTCTGCTTCCCTTGTCAGTTCACTTTAGATGACACTGAAGCCAGCACCGCAGTCCTTTGCTTTCCCATCACCGAATGCTCCTTACTCCTCACAGAGCAGGGCATGCTGAAGCTGGCATGACGAGGGGTTTAGTGAGCACAGAGCCAAAAATCTACAGATTCAGCACCAGTTTCCTTAAGCTCATCTGGGCTCCTGATTTAGACCAAGTCCTCAAAGATTTCGCTATTTCCTGTGTAAGAGAAAAGGGACAGAAGATGATCTAATTGAGCAGATAGAATGAATGGTGCTTTACTTAATGAATCAACAGCATTACTTATGCAAATTGACTTCCTATTGTTAGGAAATCAGGATGTTTTAGGCACAGATATTAATTAAATTTCTAATAAGAGCATATTTACTATGATTGGCTAGCTATTTCTCTTTTCGTTAATGTGTTTTTCTTTTATGTGCATTGGTGTTTTGCCTGTATCTATATCTGCATGAGGGTGTTGAACCCCATGTAACTGGAGTTGCAGACAGTTGTGAGCGGCCATGTGGTGCTGGGAATTGAACCCAGATCTTCTGGAAGGGCAGACAGTGCTCTTAACCATTGAGCCATCTCTCCAGCCCTGGCTAGCTACTTCTTCATCAGGGTGTGCAGGTTTAGTTTTTGCGAACTAGAGTCTGGTGCAGGAGAATTGTCTGTATTCTGTCAATCATGTTTTAAATAAACGCTGATTGACCAGGCAGGAAGAATAGGCAGGGCAATCAGACAGGAAGTAGAGGTGGGGCGATATGAACAAGAGAATTCTAGGAAGGAGGAAGCCCATTCCCCCCGCCCCCCGCAGTCCAGCCCAGACCGCCGAAGAAGCAAGATGTGACCTGCCCCTGAGAGTCGAGTAATTGCCTCCATCAGATGATGGAAGGCAAATTTGTGGGGCATATTCTTGGTTAGTGATTGATGTGGAAGGGTCCAGGACACCGTGGGTGGTGTCAGTCCTGGGCCGGTAGTCGGGAGTTATATGAGAAACCTAACTCAGTAAGCCATGGGGAGCAAGTCAGCACCACAATCCTCCATGGTCTCCTTCAGTTCTTGGTTCTCGGTTCCTGCCTTGAGCTCCAGCCCTGACTTCCCTCAATGACGGACACTAACTGTAAAGTGCAATGAACCCTTTCCTCCCCAAGGAAAGTTTCAGTCATAGCAACAGGCAGCAAACTAGGACACTCTATAGCCAGTTTGTCTCTATAGCAGTGGTCCAGAGTACCTCAGAATTGCATGACACAGTGACTGAAATGGAGCGTCACAGATTTTCCCCATATTAAATACAATGTGTTTCAGATATTAAATAAGGATTGCTGAGGAATATGTATTTTGAATAAGCTCTCCATGTAATTATGATGAACCCATAGACCTTCCAAGCTCCTCCCTTGAGGGATACTGTCTGACGCTACAGTATTTACACTTTATAGATGAAGAATTTGGGGCTCAGAGGAGCCAGGGTTACATCCAGGGTACACAACGGTCACAGAAGAGCAGGACTTCAGCACAGTGTCCCTGTGCTGGATCCAGTCACACAGTCTTCCATGGAAGATGGTTTAAACCTGACCTTTTAAGGGCTCCCAAATAGCCGGGCGGTGCTGACATGGCACATGTCTTTAATCCCAGCACTCGGGAGCAGAGACAGGCGGATCTCTGTGAGTTCGAGGCCAGCCTGGTCTACAAGAACTAGTTCCAGGACGGGCTCCAAAGCTACAGAGAAACTCTGTCTCGAAAAACAAAAACAAAAACAAAAAAACCCAAATAAATCAGGAAACATAAGAAACACATGGTCAGGAGACAGATCTTTATGAATGCATAACAGTTTGTGAAATGTTTAGTGAGTTAGATTCAGATAATGTAAGAAAATACATAGTATAGGACAGCATAATTTTCTGTATCTGTGGTTCAGGTTAACATCCAATCCATATAAATACTCCTAATTCCTGTTACTTAAACGTTTACCAGACAGTCAATGATATTGCTGTTTGTGTACCTCTGCTCATGTATTCTCTACTCTTTCAGCCACATTGTAAAAATGCTAACATGGGCCCTAGGTCTGGAGAGAACTGGGCATGTTGATGGAGGTCCGGGATCTTTCCACTTCCTCACCACTGATGGCTTCACTGGGAAGAGTCCTCTAGGTTGAGTTGTAAAGAACACTAACATGCAAGAACCTTGAACCTGGATGCTGTATGTACTGTCTTCCAGGACACCTGTTAAAGTCCCATGTATCACAGCCGTGTCTCGGAGGAAAGATCAACTCCACACACAGAACCGAACATGCCTTACTGAGTGGAAAGGCACAGGTCAGCACTCATGGAACCAGAAGCTGAATCACAGGTGCCACTGCTGTAGGTGCTCCTCAACCTGAATTTTTTTCTCAAGTAATGAGAGTCCCACCAGGCTAATCAGAAAGCAGGACCAGGAGAAAGAGGAAGGGAGTGGGCAAGAAGGGACAAAAGGCCTAGTAGATACACACCTTAGAGTGCCATTGGGATTTTCTCTTGTTTCAAAGGGCATCTCTAGCATCTCACAGACCTAGCCAATCTGTGAGACCCACGATGCAAGCCGACCGGCATTCTGAGCATGCTCAGCTTCTGCCCTTGGAAAAGCAACGCACGCAATTCTCTACTACTAGGGCTGTCACAACAAGGAACAGCTTTTAAAATGCAAGGATGAGTGAGAACTGCAAATACCAGCCTGCAAATGTCACTCCTTCTGTTCTACTTTTAAAACAGGGATACTCAACCCAGCCACGAAAACCAATATGAAAAGAATTGCTAGAAGGTCTCTGAACTGTGGTTTGAACTTCCTTAAAAATTTATAATCCTCAGCAAAATGTTAAAATGATCCTGGTAAGGGAAAGGCCATGAAAAACGTTTATGGTGATTGAGAAGGGAGCACAGGGGAATCTCCCCCTTAAGATGCTTGCCTTGGAGGATACGTCCGGGTCTCTCTGTTCCAGAAGTTGATCCAGCACGGTTCTAGGAGGAGCTGTGCTTCCGGCCTACTTCTGTCACACTAGAGTTCCTACCAGGACTTCTCTCCGTCCTGGACACAGGACCGCTGAAGCATTTGACTTGCCCTGATTGAATTACTCCACACCCACCCTGGTGTGTTTTTATCCAGTCACCACAACAGATGTACTTTATTAGAAGAGGAAGAACTGACAGGAGCAGGTGATGGGCAGGAAAGGGCCTCTGCCATGTGTCACGATCGCTCTGATGGCCGAACATGATTCATCCGCCAGCTGCCTGACTCACAGACCCCCAGGCCTTCCTTGCCATTTTGTGTGTAAATAACTTCTGGGACGCCCAAGTACAAGGACCTTGTCTTGGCCACTAAGCTACAAATGGTGGAGACCAAGTCTAGCAAACTAACCAAGTACTTCCAGGTTTATCCAGTTTTTCTCCTGAATCTTCAGGATGGTGAATTATAAAGGAATAAGATGCAGAAGATGATAAGAGCATCCTCAGTGGCAGGCAGGATAATTCTGGTGGCACACTAAAGAAGATTAGCCCAGAACTGCACATAACTGCTTAGAGCATTCCCATTTATTATTTCACTGCCTGAGGAACACAGAATCTAAACCATTATGCCCAGCATGGTGAGCTGGGCACAGCCTGGTGAAGTCCCTGGGGAGCTTAACAAAGCTTGGTGAAGTCCTGGGGAGATTGGCACAGTCTGGCAAAATCCTTGGTGAGCTGGGCACAGCTTGGTGAAGTCCCCGGGGAGCTGAGTACAGCCTGGTGAAGTCCCTGGGGATCTGGGCACAGCCTGGTGAAGTCCCTGGGGAGCTGAGCACAGCCTGGTGAAGTCTCTGGGGAACTGGGCACAGCCTGGTGAAGTCCCTGGCTGCAGGTGAAAGGGAAGTTAGTCACATCCTGTAGCATGGATGCTCAGTGTGTTAGAGTGTGGGGAACAGGTTTGCCAGGAAACTAAAGAACCTCTCAATGGATGTTTGAGACCTGTTATATCTGGTTATACTGCTCAATTCATAAGTCTGCTTCTGGAGACACAGTCACTCACGAAACCATTTGCTGTATTATTTAATGTTGACTGATTCTTCCCCTAGGATCTGAAATTCTAAAGGGCATCAGAGCCAGAGACAGATGTTACTGTGTGCCTGACCCCTGGCATCAGGGCCAAAGACAGATGTTACTGTGTGCCTGACCCCTGACCTTCAGTGGGTGTTGGTTGAATATGCTGGGATATTCCAGTCCTAATGTGGGATGTTGAAATACTTTCTGTTTGCCCCAGGGGCACAGACACAGGGTAGAGCCCAACCTCAGAGACACTTCAGCATAAACATACTGATAAGTTGGGGAATCTCTCCCCACCCCAAACATCTGGACCAACCCCAAATTCACAGGGACTCCTTGGCCTACGATCTTGAGCTTCTTAAGAACATTTCGTTACTGATATGATTAAGACAACAACTAGCCTGGTACCAGTGCTATAGAGTTAGTGCGGATTGCCAAGCAACCCACAAGTTCAAAATTCCCATATTCTACTCATTAATTAAAATCAGATCCCAACTTCAGTAAGTGTTCCATATGTCAAGTTCTCAGTTTCTTTAGCTGTCTTTTTTTTTTCTACTTATCCACAAGATGGTACACTTACTAAGTACCTACGTGCCAGGCAGATTTTAAAAACAATCTCTCAGAACAACCCTGTGAGACAGGTAATTTTATCTCAATTTTACTGATGAGAATTTTGAAATTCAGAGAAGATACATAAGTTGTTCAAGGTCAAACTGCTCAAACGTTACGTGCATTCCTTACCGCACCGGTCTGCCTCTGCTACACGTCACCAGGACTTAGAAGCCCGCTGCTCTCACTCTGCCCCCATTCTCCATGTGAGCCTAGGACACTGAGTCACCAACAAGCAGGGGAAGCACCTCCTATTCTTTCTACTTTAAGTAGCACCAGAAACTTTGGTAAGGTGGCAACTCCAGAAATCCCAAGAGGCCGGAGGATGAATTAGAGGCCAGCCTAGGCTACACAGTGGGACTTGGTCTAAAAAGTAAATAGTAAGTAAACAAGCAGCAGTATCCTCCCCACCCTGGGTTTATGTATGACCTCCCCATCCATGGGCTTTTGACCATGTTTCTAGTACAAGGCATGAATTCCTTCCTGTTAAGCAGACCTCAAATCTAACCAGAAAGCAGTTGGTTACCCCCATAACTACAATGCCACTATTGCACCAGTGGGCATGTTTTGCTTGGCAGGTCAG